TAGAAGACACAATCCTTTATATAGAAGACAAAAAATTCCACCAAAAGATCTCAGAACCAATATATTTAGCAGGGTAGCAGGATACAAAGTCAACACACAAAAACCGGTAGTGTTCATATACACCAATAATAAACCCACCAAAAAAGAATTTAGGAAAGTAATACCATTTGCAATAGCTTCAAGAAAAATTAAATATTTAGGAATTAACCTAACCAAGTTAAAGATCTCTATAATGAAAACTATAGTACTCTATAAAAAGAGATCAAAGAGGATATCAGAAAATGGAAATATATTCCCTATTCCTGAGTGGGTAGAACCAATAATGTCAAAATGGCCATACTTATAAAACTCATATATAGATTTAATGCAATTCCAATTAAAGTAACAGAAGCATTCCTCAGGGAACTAGAAAAAAATACTAAAATTCATACGGGGCCAGAAGATACGCAGAATATTAAAAGCAATCCTGGGTAAGAGCAAAGCAGGAGACATCACAATCCAAGATTTCAAGTTATATTACACAGTGAAAGTGATAAAAATGACATGGTACTGGCTCTAGGAGTTCTGTGCCAGGAACTAGGGAAAAAAAGTATCATCATGATACCACATATGTTGAATCAGAAATATAATTGCAGGGCCGGGGATTTAGTTTAGTGGTTCCGATGCCTGCCTTGCAAGCACAAGGACCCAAGTTTGATCCCCGGTACCCCCCACCAAAATGTATATATTATTCCAATAAAACAAAAATGACTATTATTTCTGTAGGTGGTAAAATGTATGTCCTTTCTAGTTATATTGGGAAAAAATTCCACTATGGCTATTTTAATATAAAGTCTAATGTCTTTTTAAATAAAAAATAAAAGAAACTCATAGAGCAAATAAGATGGAGTATTGCTTGATTTTATATTTAAAGTCAAATTAATAATTTGATATAGATTTATATATAACATCAAAAGTCATCTTTAAAAATGACTATAATCAGGAAACAGATCTGAAGTATAATTACTTTTAAGATTAAATCTATGTAGGCTTTCATTTAAGGCGGTGATACTAAAATCTAGTAGGTTTATTCAGCTCAACTGAGTTCAGAGTACTTGATTTTATAAATGTCTTCAGTTTTTGTATATTTGGTTGTGCAGGAAGAACCTCAAAAAAGAAGCTCCTGCTGGGTATGGTGTCACATACAGTAATCCTAGGTGCTCAGGAGGCTAAGGTGGGAGGATCAAAAGTTTTACCTAGTCTAGGTAAATTAGTAAGTTCCTGTCTCAAAATAAAATTTTTAAAAGGGCTAGGGGTGTAGCTGAGTGACAGAGTGCTTGCCTAGCATGTATGAGGTCCTAGGTCTGATACCTAACACCAAAAAGAAAAGGGGAAAAAAAGCCCTCCTAAATAATCTAATACATGTAAAATAACCTAGCATGGGATCTGGCACATGGCAGATGATTTTTCTTCTTGTTCCTCTCTTATTAGTAGATGTATTCTCTATGTTGTAAATTAGGTCAAAGGAGTGTTAATTATGATGACAGGACGAAAAAAATATGATTACAAGAAGATAAAGGGCCAACAGCTGTAAATAAGAGCTGAAATAAACACCCTATGTTCTGTTATCAGGAACCCATCTTCCTTAGGTTTTTTGTTCTCAGCCACATCAAAGAGAAGCACCTGTGAACGTGTTCTATTACATATACTTTCACAGAGAAAAGAAACACAGTCATGGCACTGAAATGTAGAAAACTGTCCTTAAAGTCATTTATTTACAACAGATTAGCAGGAGGTGAACTATTATTTTATCAAAACTGGAAAAGCATGTTCTAATTTTCAAAGGAACAAATGATGCTAGTGTCCATAAAATATGTAATCAGTATGTCTTGAGTGATGGTGGGGGAAGACTTCAGAGAACACTGTTTTTTCTTTCTTGCTTAAATTCATTTATGTTAGTGTGTTTTAAGTAGCTTGGTACTATGGTGACAAAAAACATAAATACATAAAATTAGATTCCAAATAAAAAGTAAAATGTGATCTATTTTAATAGGACATTTAAAAGAAAGTGTGCCAAGATATATCCATATATAATAATCACAAATTATGCAGAAGTTTGAGAATGCTCATTTTTTCCTTCTAGTTGTACTGAAATACCAGTGAAAAGTACCTAAATGATACTGCTGCACAGGCATAGAAAGAGGCTTGGGAGGAAGCTATGAAATTGCAAGGGAAAACACACCATGCACTCACTTCATTTTAAAGCTTACAAGGACATTTGGGATAATAGATGCTTCAAGAGTTTCATCAACAGAACTATGATTTAACCCATTTATGCAGAAGACTGCAATTTTTTGAATTTTTACATGAAATTCATATATTTTACCTAGAAAAATTCAAGGAACGAGAATTTGAAGAGAAACAATTTTATTATGCTCTGTTATAATAGGTGCTCTGAAATTGGATATTAAAGAGGTAAAAGGTCTGGGTTTTGTTTTTTGTTTGTTTTTTTTTTTTGGTACCAGGGATCAAACTTGGATCCTTGTGCTTGCAAGGCAGGTGGCAGAACCACTGAGCTAAATCCCTGGCCCAGGTCTGGGCTTTAAACTAGGCATGGTGGTACACACCCGTGATTATAGCTACTTGGGAGGTTGACATAGGAGGATTTTAAGTCCGAGGTCAGCCTGGGCAATTTACTCAGATTTTGTCTCAAAATAAAAATAAAAAGGTCTGGAGTTGTGGCTCGGTGCTTGAGTCCTTAACGCAGTAGAATACGGCCTTGTGTTTAAATCCTCAGAAACAAAAATAAAAAGGGGAGGCCTTCTATGTTTAACATCTTTAATTATAAATGCATACCCTCAATGTGTTCACGTACTACATTTTAATAATGGAATCCATCAAAACATTCGCTTCAGTTACTAATTAATTTTTGTGAAGAATTCAGACTAAAACTCTTCCATCATTCTGAGATTATCTTAGTCACTTTCTCATCTGCTAAGATACAATATCTGATAGCTACAACTTAAAGGACAAGTTTATTTTTGTTCACATTTCAGTTCATGGTCATTTGGCTTCAATGAAGAGACGGCATACAGAGAAAGCAGAGGAAAAGCTGTTCATCTCATGGTAACCAGGAAGCAGAGTGAAGGGTCCTGGAGTTCTCAACTGAAAGATTCATAGCCTGGCAACCTTGAGCCTGATGAGATCAGTGGAGTCTTTCAGATTTCTCATATGCCTTCAAGGCATCTTTCCTATTATCCTGATATAAGTACATGGCTTCTTTTTAATTGTAATCTTTTCAGCAACCAAGCTCTTTACTGTTCCAACTTTGTAGGCCTGTTCTTTTTGGCAAAATTGAAAACTTTTAAAACGAGCTCTTTGGGACCAAGGATTTAGCTCAGTGGCACCGCACCTGCCGTGCAAGTGCAAGGTCCCAAGTTCAATCTCCGGTACCAAAAATAAATAAATAAATAAATAAATAAATAAATAAATAAATAAATAAATAAATAAATAAAAAATAATATGAGCTCCTTGTTCCTAATTTTCAGCCTGATTTAAAACCTGGTTAAGGCTGGGCATGGTGGCGCACACCTGTAATCCCAGTACTTGGGAGGCTGAGGCAGGAGGATGACTGTGAGTTCGAGACTAGCCTGGGCTACATAATGAGTTACAGGTCAGTCTCATCTATGTAGTAAGACCCGGTTTCAAAAAAATCAGAACAAAAATGAAAACCTGGTTAAAAGCAGCAAGCAGTATCCATGTTATAAACTGAACATTGGGGCTGCCTTGAAATTTCCTCTGTCAGATTAGTTTATCACCTTTAATCTCAGTCTCTCAAATTCAGGATGAACAAAATGTACATAAATTTTCTGCCAGGGCATAATATATATCCTGATGCCCAACAGCCACTGGAGTCCTTGCTCCCAACTGAAAACTTCTGAGCCTGGTCTTTATCATCTTCCTTTTAATCATCATTTTGGCGTTCTGAGATCTGACACCAACACATTACACTAAGTCAAAGAAGTCTGATACAGATGGTCATATATTATATGATTCCATTTATATAACACGTTCAGAATAGGGACACTCCTTCAGACAGGAAGCAGACTGGGGATAGTAGAGGACAGTGAGTAACAGCTAAATGGGCACAGGGTTTCTTTCTGGGGTGATGAAAGTATTTTCGAATTACACCCAAGTATGGTTGCACAACACTGTGAATATACTAAATGCCACTGAGTTTTTCACTTTAAAACAATTAATTATAATGGTTATTTTAAAAATTAGTTGTAAATTTTTCAGTAAAGGGAAAAAAACTAATGCTTTTTAAGGAGATTTGAGTATTTTTTTTAAAATTCCACAACTAAGAAATGGATCTATTAGACAGAACACTATGTTGCTTTACAAGGGTTTATGTGTATATGGTTGGAGTAAGTAGTCCTACTTGATTATTCCAAAGAGTAGCTTCTCAGATTCAGATTTGCTGGTAAATTTCTAACAGTGTATTGGTGTAAAGTTTCTAATTTCATTTTCAGTACACTACAGCTGCCATCATTGATACCTAATTGTGGACTTTTAAGCTACTTTGTCAAAAATCTTTCCTTTTTAAAACACAAAGAGTTAATAAGCATCTCAAGCTTTTTTTTCTTTTTAAATGACGCCTGAACTTTCAGATTACTCTAGTGTTTCCTGTTTTGCTTGGCATATCATCATGAACAATCTTTTTATTTCTTTGAGGTAGGAGTATATTTTTATTTCATAATGCAATAATCAAATTATTAAGTGTGTTTGTGCAGCTCAAAAGAAAAAAGATGTATTAAGGGGAAAGGAACACTGATCCAGTTGCAAGGAACACTTAAACCAAGTTTTATGTTTGATTTATCATCTTTGTATATTATAAACATTTATTTAACTTGTTGAAGTTTGAAGTAAAAAGTTACCAAAATGTGTGCCGAACAATAATCATTAAAATGTTTGAAGCATACAACAAAACAAAACAAGACAAAACAAAACAAAACACATACCTGGAAGACAAGTTTGATGTTGCTGAGATACTATGTCTAGTTCTGGAGGTAAAGATACTTCCTCAGAAACATACTTTAAAAGCTCCTTTCCAAGATATGTTACCTGCATGTAATTTAAAACACAACCGAAAAATCATACATTCTGTAAGGGACAAATGCATCTATTTCCCAAAAATAGTAATTTGTAAAGTATTGATTATTATACACCAAACTATAGCTCGTGGCCAAATCTAGCCTGTCATCTTTCTGTAAATAACATTTTATTGGAATAGAGTGACACTCATTTCCTTAGCGCTTCTGGCTGCTTTTGTGAAGAAACAGAAATGAGGAGTTGTGAAAGAGACTACGTGCCCATGAAATCTAAAATATTTATCTAGTTCTTCAAAAAAAATTTTCTGATTCTCCATTGTATATCATTCATTCTTTCATACATTCGCTTGTTCAACAACCATTAACATAGCATCTGATACTTATAAACTTCAAAAAAGTAACAGTACATTAATATAATTAAGCCATATAAGTAATGGTACTCTTCAAGAAAAGAACCAGTAACCTGATGAGATTAGTAACATTTCAGGACTAGACATCCATTTAAAAATTCTTGATTGTGAACATACATATTATTATCAGCCCCAAAGGCCAGAGTTTAAAAATATCTGTACATGAATGGGCAAGGCTACAGCTGCTGGGAAATAACTGCCAAAAATATTCTGGGCCCAAAGGTCTCTGGATTCTCTACTCTTTAGTCTACCTTGTAGGCTCAGTGTGGGCAAAACATCAAGTCTCAACTTGAACATCCTTTCCTTGTTTTCCTATAATTGCTAAACTCAAGTAATGGCCATACTCTAGGCTCTCATAGAGAGGTGGTGTCATTTCTTAAATTCTTATTTGTGTTCCTATCTCTGCCATTAATATTTATCCCACTTAAATAGAATTATATTTTAATGTGCCTTGTTTCCATCAAACCATAAGCTTCTTGAGGTTGTCTGTGCCCTGTTCATTTTTATAGCTTTAGCACATCAGAGTGCTGACTTTATTCAATAAAAGACTGAAGTTCCAACACTTAAACAAAATTCATAAATTCCCAGTCTCATTTTTATGTTTGTTAAAAAAGAACCTTCAGTTTACCAAGTACTGAACATTAAAAGAGATAATGCACAAAAAGCATTTGGCATACTGTCTGGCATTTCCTGATGGCCTTTAAATTGGAAAGCATAAGAAAAGTATAGCGGATGTGTGAAGTATAGGAGAAACCCTTCAGGCTCAATCCCACAACTAAAAAAAGCTTCCAAAAGCTTTTTTTTTTTTTTTTTTTTTTTTTTTTTAAAGTATACCTGGTCTGTCCAGTGTGCCAATCCCTCCTATTTGCCACGGAAAGGAGATGAGATGCCCTTGAATGCTTCTCTAAACAACTAACAATTAGAAACAATGTATTTTACATATGTTACACCCTGACAATGCCCAACACACCTTACATACTCATTAAAGTAGTCTTCACCAACTACAGAGATAATATATATAATAATATAGGATACTGAGAAATGTTGAATGACTAGATCTAAGTCAATGACTCTCATTCTAAGGTGAAGATTAGAATTGCTTGGTAAGCTATTTAACTACTGCCTCTTCGTTCCTGGCCCAGACTATCCACTGGCCCTGAGTCTGGGGTCCACTAGGCATGGGTGGTTTTTGAAAGCCTCCCAAGTAATTCTAATGTATAGCCATGATTGAAAATTGTTGCCTACATCATAAAACTTTAAAACCGTGAAGACAGGAAGTAGTTTGGCCTTCCATCTGGTAATTACACTGCCATATTGGATGATGCCTTATAGCTGGTAGGCAGTGGCAGTTGGAGAAGTCAGGGATGCCCGCTGAGAGTAAGCTCCAAGATCCCCTTGGTGAAGCTGCACAGCCACCCAGCTACTTGGATAGGAGTGAGTCACATCTGTATCTAGTGATTGTGTTGCTTTGTCTGATGTAGTGCTCTGTCAGATGTAGAGCAAGACCTAGTTTTCTGGCATTTCGTGCCTGACGACTAATCATCCTTGACTCTACACCCTCACTATAATTCTCAGAACTAATCAGTAAATGTGTTCATTTGCTGGTGCAGCCAAAAGCTCCTTTCATCAAGAAATGACTGTGAATGTCCTTTGAGACAAGAGGAAGCAGAAGTTTTGGAGGTAAACTTTAAAAGAGAAGACTTTAGAAGAAATTTTAAATAATTGTAAGAAACTTACTGGGGTTGTTTTCCAGCCTGAGGTATTCAAATAAAAGTACATGAGTTTCTCATAGAAGGTTTTAAAGCTCTGCTTTCTTTTTTTGGGGGGGTAATCTTAAAAAGAAATCTAATCTGCTCAATAATCTGTAGGAATACCTTATAGCCAAGAATTTCCCTGTATTTTAGTGTCTATATTTGCATAGGACTGTAATTGGCTTGGCTAATGAGAAAACACTAAGCAATGTGGTATGTAAATGAGGCAGTGTGTATGCTACTGATGTTACAACAGCTATTCAAAGCCGGAAAAGCAGAACCAGGAAATGGCCAAAAAGTGGAAGAATTGAATCATTACTGGGCACACTGCATCATGGGGGATGCTAAGGTCAAAAGAACCAAAGCCTCAGCAATCAGTAACAAAACCTTGCTGTGAGCAAAGATTCAGTATCAGCAAAACAGTATAATCTATCATAATTTTAAAAATCTTAATAGTGAGAAGAGTTTTTCACAGGCAAATGTTAATGTTTAACATTCATTATGAATTATGAATCCATGAAAAGGACTGAGCAAGGGGGCAGGGTGAACTGAAAGCAGATCACCTGGTGATTCTAGAGATGGGGAAAATTTTAGGGTGTAGAAAAACTGCAAGAGATAAAATTGAGAATATTTTGCTATAACTGAAGGAATTGAAACACTACTAGCAACTACCATAAAGGTTTAGGCCAATGAGGGTGAATCTTTAAGAGCTTTTAATAACAAAGTGCTGGCTATGGCACATGTCCCATAGGTTTGCCACCACTGGTATGTAGAGTTGGGGCAGAATTTGGGGTAGTGCAGGAGCTAAGGATGGGAGTGGGCAAAGCTGGGTTAGACAAAAAAAAGAAAACAAACTGTGCCTAACACTGGTACCTTGAGGCTTATTACAATGGCTAGTGGAGGTTATTGGTATCTATTATTTGAAGCAGTAAATGGAGGACTAATAATACATACGTTTCTGAGAGAATCACTGTAAGACAGAGTTGGAGGAACACTGGACCACAAGGGTGTCAGTCACCACTGACAGGGCTTGTAACTCAGAAGCCAGAAATGAGGGGTCTGAATGAAAACATTTCTTTTTGAGAAAAGTATTTTCTTTAGTAATCTGTGGATATTGCTATGTGCAGAAATGAAAATTCAGGGTAATTTTTGTCAGCCTCAGGCTTCTTGCCCATTCCTTTTATATTTAAGGGAAGATTTTTGCCTGATTAGAATAATAGTAACATGTATTAACTACATTATCAATGCATCAGTGGTCTCAAATTTTCCATCCAGAGTCACAAGGACCTGAACTTCACTGAGAGGGAAAATGAAGATTGGGGCAATAAAGTTTCTGAGATGAGATAAGGACCAAAGAAGAGGAGATGCAGTCACAGGCACAGCTATGCTTGCAGAAATGCTGCCAAGTATAGTCGTGGGTGAAAGCACATAGCATATCACAGCAGAGATATAAGCACAAAACTAGCTTAGAGATCTTTCGCATTTATTTTAGAAAAATATTTCATCATTAAAAATATGTATCTTTCCATTTGAATATGAAATTAAAGACAAATTTAAGAATGACCCACCTTACTCCAAGCATAATTCCAGGTCACATAACTGTCACCTCCCAGAAGATCTTTGAGCCAGCAGACTGGGTTTTGATAAATCTGACCATTTTCTACTTTAATTTTACCACTCATTAAAATACTGGCCTTGTGGGTAGTCTCCTAAAGTGAAAAACAAGAACAAAAATTATGATAAAGTTGCTAAGTGTACTTCTGTTTCTGTCCATAATGAAATAACAGAGACCAAATTTAGCCTAACACAACCAAAATCTGACAAAATATATGAAACAATGGTTTACAAGACATCAAATATGAAGCAACAAAGTACAGTAATCCCTGTGTTGCAAGAATTTAATGCAGTAAATCCTAACTCTGGTTACTGCTCTGAGAGAATCTCCAGGTTCCAGTATATGGAATCCAGATAAAGCCTGTGGACTCACAAAGGTGAGGAGATAGAGCTAAAAGCCTAAGTAAGGACAAAGGAGGCTAGAGTCTACAGGACGAAGCACTTAAAAAAGAAATAAAAAAGAACTCTGTAGTTCTTCAGAAGATCCTTTTCAAGTGTCAAGCAGAGTAGGGAATCAGTGTATATGTGTGAGGAAATTGACAAACAAAACAAAACAAAACAAAAACACTTGAAAGGATTAGAGGTAATGATACCTGGATACTTTTACAGAGCAGGAAGTAATATCCTTAACAAGAGTACAAAAACCTCAAGATTGGGTATTTTTAGGGTACATAACAGTCTTGCCTCAGCAGTAGAAAATAGACCTTGACAGTTCCAATTTTGTGTAACAAATCTTAATAACAAGACTCAAAAGGATCAAACTACTTTCCAAGTAATTTAAAAATATTCTAGGACAAATGTTAAAAAAAATACTTGTAAGAATACAAAAATAACCAGCATTCAATGAGACAAACTTCAATATGTACGGTCCAATTAAAAAAATCAACAATCCCAGATCCAATAATATTAACATAAAATGTGAATGAATTAAACAATCTCATCAAAAGGGAAATATTGTCTCGATTTAAAAGCAAGTTCTCATGATATTGTGCATACAGGAGACAGACATTACATCCAAAGAAACAGGTCAACTAAAAGTAAACAGATGGGAAAGAGAGTGTGATACAAAAAGAGTAACTGCAAGAAAACTAGAGTAAATACTCTAATATAGTATCAGACAAATTAGAGTTTTAAACAAATATTGCTACTAGAGACAAAGAGGGACATTATATAATGCTAATAAGGTCACTGAATCAAGAATATAAGGTAGTTATAAACACATGTGCACTTAAAATATAAGAGAACCAAAACACAGAATTAACTGAACTGAAGGAAGAAATAAATAATTCAACATAAGAGTTGGAGAATGTCAACACTCTACTTTGAGGCAGGCAGTGGAACCACTGAGCTAAATCCCTGGCCTGATACTCTACTTTGAATATGGTGTATAAGTCAAATAGGCAGAAGATCAATGAAAAAAGACTCGAACACTATAATCGAAACAGGCAAGAGACATCTCAGAAAACTTCATTCAATGGTGGGGGAATATATGTTCTCAACTGCATACGAACATTCTCCAGGATAGAACATTTGGTAGCTAGGCCATAAAATAAACCCCAACATTTTTATAAGAACTAAAATTATATAAAAATTGTTCTCCAATCAAAATGGAATGAAATTAGAAATAAGTAACAGAAGAAAGGATATAGACCATCACATGAAAATCAAAAAACATATCTCTAAGTAACCAATAGATCAAATAAGTAATCAAAATGTAAATTAGAAATACTTTGAGAGGATGAAAAGATGACACTGAAACTTAGAGAATGCAGCAAAAACGAGGGGTTAGAAAGATAAGCTTATAAATCCCCACATTAAAACAAAAAGATCCCAGGTAAACAACCTAAAAGAGCAAACTAAACACAAAACAAACAGAAGGATATAAATAATAAAGATTGGTGTGAAAATAAATAAAACAACAGAAACATAGTTGAGAAAAATCAATAAAAGTAAAAGTAAACAATAAAGATTGGTGTGAAAATAAATAAAACAACAGAAACATAGTTGAGAAAAATCAATAAAAGTAAAAGTAAACAATAAAGATTGGTGTGAAAATAAATAAAACAACAGAAACATAGTTGAGAAAAATCAATAAAAGTAAAAGTAAAAATTTCTAAACAAAATTGGCAGACGTTTAGACTAAGAAAATTAGTAAGATTCAAATTACAAAAATCAGAAATGAAAATAGAGACATTACTACCAACTGTACAGAAATAAAAGGACTAAAAAATAATGCTATGAATACTTGCATGCCAATAAATTAGATGAAAAAGACATCCCATTTGACCCAGCCATCCCTCTGTTGAGTATCTTTCCAAAAGAATTAAAAGAATCATACCACAGTGATATATGCACACCCATGTTTATAGCGGCACAGTTTGTAATAGCTAAAACTTGGAAATAGCCCATCTGCCCCAGTGGGAGATTGGATAAAGATGTGGTTTTTTCTATAAAATGGAATACTACTCAGCCATAAAGAATGAGAAAGTAGATTCATTCATAGGTAAATGGGTACAGTTTGAGGATAAACTCCTAAGTGAAATAAATAAGTCACACATATGCAAATACTGAATAGTTTCTCTAGTGTGAAAAGCTAAAATAGTATTCAAGATCCTAGCAAATAGGAAGAAAAGGACCAAAGGTGTAGGGACAGTGAGAAAGATAGGGAAAGGGGGATAAGGGAAAAGGAAAAAAATATGAGAAAATGTAAAAATGGAATTAAAGTGTTTGAAGGGGGAAGGGGAGGAGTGAGTGGAGAGAGGATGGGGACAAGGGGAAAAAATGAGAACCAAGACCTGGCATGTAAAGGTGCAAGATCCCAGTAATGAATGTAACTGCACTGTCTACCTAGAATGTACCAATAAATTAAATAAAAAAAAAAAGAAAAAGAAAAATTCTTAGAAAGTCAAAATAAGAAAACTGAATCAAGAAGAAACACACTCCAAAAATACCTTTGAGTAAACAGATTGAAGTATCCATGTAAAAATTATCTACACAGGGCCGGGAATTTAGCTCAGTGGTTCCAGTGCCTGCTTTGCAAGCTCAAAGACCCAAGTTTGATCCCCGGTACCAAAAATAAAAAATAAAAATCTACACAGCACAGATGGTTTTATTTCTGTTTAAAGAAGACTTAATACCAATTCTTCAAAAACACTTTCAAATAACAGGAGAAACATTTTGAAGTCTTTCTATGAGGCTAGTGTTGCTATAACACAATAACAAGGCAAAGACAACACAAGCAAACTATAGACCAACATCTTTAATAAATATGGATGCAAAATACTAGCAAATCAAATTCAACAACATATAAAAAGACCATGATCTAGTTGGATTTATCCCAGGAATGCAAGGTTGGTTTAACATTGAAAAATTAATTAATGCTATATATCCTTCTATCAACAGAACAACAAAAAATTCTACATGTTTATCTCAATAGATATAAAAAGAATTTGACAAAATGCACTGCTCCTTCATGATAAAAATATGCAGCAAGCTAGGAGTAGAAAGAAATTTCTTGAGTCTGATAGAGGAAATCTATAGAAAATATGCTAAGATTATACTTTTTGATAAAGACAATTCTTTTTCCCTAAGAAAAGCAGTCTTACATTAGGGACAAAACAGAAGTTTGTTCTAATCACTTTATTTCCACACTGTACTAGAAGTTTTAGCCAGTGCAGTCAGAAAACAAAAAGAAAAGACATTCAAAATAATGAAAGAAGTGAAAATATATCTACTCATTGGACATGATAATTTATATAAAAAATCCAGTGGAATTTCCAAAAATGTACTAGAAGTAGAAAGTTTAGCAAGGTTGCAAGATTAGATCTCAACATACAAAAATGAAATCCTATACATTAGCAATAAAATTCCAGAAATTAAAAATTTAAAGACTACATCACTCATGTTATCAAATATATGAAGTGCTTCTGGATAAACTTAACAAAAATTATAAGAGAACTGTATACTGAGCCCCACCCTGCTGAGAAAAAACCCAAGAAGACTTAAATATGGAAAGACATACCACATTTATGGATTGAACAATTTAATATTACTAAAATGTCATTTCTTTCTAAATAAACTTATAGACTTAATCAAACACCAATTAAAATAGCAACAGTCTCTAAAATTCTTACAGAATTGCAAGGAATCTAAATTAGCCAAAACAGGTTTTGAAAAAGAAAAACAATTAGAAGATAAATACGACCTGATTTCAAGATTTATTATACTATTTGTTAGGGTAATTTAGTACTAACAGAAAGACAAATTGATCAATGAAACTGAATAGGGAATCTGCTGGTTTTTGACAAAAGTGCATAGGTACTTTTTCAACACATAATGCTGAAACACCTGAATATCCAAATTCAAAAGCATAAAAAAGGATCCTATTTTATACTATATATAAAAAGTAATAAAAGGCACTAATACAAAACCTACCAACCAAGAAAAGCCCAACTCTGGAGGGATTCATGGCTGAATTCTACAAAAACGTCAGGGAAGATGTAATACAAATGCTCCTCAAGTTCTTTAATAAAACAGGAAGGAAAGGAGTACTCCCAATGTTATTCCTAAAAACTACCATTACCCTGATTCTAAAACCAACCAAGAATCCAACAAAAACAGAGAAGTATAGACCAATCTCTAATGAATTTAGATGCAAAAATCCTCAATAAAATACAGGCAAACAGGATGCAGCAATCATCAAAAAGATCATGCATCGTGACCAAGTAGGCTTTATCCCAGGGATTCAAGAAAGGTTCAATAAATGTAATACATAAACAGAAGCAAAGACAAAAACCAAATGATCATGTCATTAGATGAAGAAAAAGCCTTTAATAAAATTCAACATTCTTTCATGATTAAAAAAACTGAATAAAACAGGTATAGGAGGACTTTCTGTCAAACCAATAAAAACCATTCGAATCAGGTGTGTGTGGTGGTGCATGCCTATAATCCCAGTACTCAGGAGGCAGAAGCAAGAGGATCACCATGAGTGCAAGACCAGCCTGGTCTACATAGTAAGTTCAAGGCTAGTTTGAATTACATGGTGAATCCCTGTCTCAAAACAAACAAACAAACCAACCACCAAAAACTAAAA